TTCCCGCAGTCGTGAGTACAGCAGCTCGAGCGTGTATAGATGCTCGACAGGGTTGCTGTTGCTGTGTGCGGGGATCGTGAATTTGAACGTCTTCTTCATCAGGGCTTGTTTCGAGCCCTGCGACTCCGGGCTGTGTACTCTGTCGAGTTCCGCAAGAATCTCCTTTGAGGTCTCACATTTATTCACGATTGCCTTGTCGGCTTCTCGGACGATGGCTGTAGTCACAAAGTGGAACGCCTGGAGGCCCCTCTGAACCTCATCACTTGTGTAGCCCAAGCTATACAGCTCCGAGCTAGGCCTGTTTGGGTCACCGACGGGTGCGTGCTTCTCGGCGTTGCCGACAAGCTGCCCGTCCAATCCTACGGCTTTCGCGGCTTGAATAAGGGCCTTTCTCCACGAGTCGTACCCGTGGCCGCGACTCTCCCCTTCGAGACGCGGTGCATTGACCGTAACACGTTTTTGGCTACTACTGCTGTACCCATCGAAAAATGCTCCGGCCCCTCGAATTGCGGTTTGCTCAACTTGGGGGGTTAACCCCCTCGCTTCCCCGCGGTCCGGTCCTACGCCCGGGCTTATTCCGGCTGGCCCCTCAGGATTCGCTCCCGATCTACTTGCCCAGCCAGCCGCCACTCTCGCTGGAACCCCAGGACTCGCCCCCGGTATTTTGTCCCAGCTGCTTTCCCGCGGGTGATTTCGCCCATCACGGGCCGTTTCCCACGGAAATGCCCCGCCCCCGGGCGGCAGAGCCTCTCTCTGGCTTGGGACGGCAGCACCACCGCCCCTACTGGCATCGCCCGCCACGGCGTCACCAGGCTCCTTCCTCTTCAACTCCATCACTACGCTCATCAGCTGCGATAACTGGCCCTCCAGCCTCGCAATCGCCGGATCCTCGGCGTGTTGCTGTTGCGTGGCTGAGGTCTCTTCCCCCAGCCCTCCGACGGACCCGCTGTCCGACGTAGACGTCACCCGATGCGGCTATCCCTCGAGGGACAAATAAACTCTAGAGTGTTTGTCGGCCGTGCTCCGCGTACTTATCGGGACTTGTTTGTGTAGTGTATTAACTTCAGACGGTGAGACAACGCCCGTACCCAGGACGCTGTCGTGCTCGGAAAGGAGGAGGAGAGAGAGAGAGAGTAGCAGCACGGCTGCTGCACTCAACAAAGGGGGTCCCGGTGCTTCATCACCGTACCCCTACCTTAAAGGTTCTACACCATCTGCGTCACACATGTACGTACGGGTAATGTATCCACCATGTCCGTAGACCCACGAACAAGGACTCTGTATCAGAACAATCTATCCCCGCCTCGCCGATGCCGGTCGATTCTTCCGGGGGATCAACAGATCTCAGCGAGCAGGGGAATCAAGTTGCCATCATGCTGAATGGAGTATCCGTGTTCAGGTGTGTTCCTCTCCTTGGTGTTTAGAAGGCGAGACAACCAATGTACCCGTGAGTGCGTACTGCTGTGGATATACGAAGTAAAAATGCAACTTTTGTTTTCCTCAGAGCCGCCCTTGGGCATCAGCACCCGAAGTCACCGCTACTGAGCCTTGGGGCGAGCAACACAGCAACACGCCGTAGATAAACGCTCTCACGTTCAGCTGTCATCCCGTCCCATCCCCTCACGCTTGCCACCACCCATTCTCCCCTTCAGCCCGGGATCACGTTCATACCAACCAAAGCACCGATGTCCTGATAATACAAAAGTGGATACGCAGATGACTACGTACGAGACGTGCAATCTACTTGGAGGGGAGCAGTTTCGATCTTTGCGGTTGAAATTCTTCCTTTGACGGGACGCACCATTACCACAACACCCCCGGTTGTCTTCAAGAGCAGGTACCTACCTCATGTAGATTGCTTGCCGTAAAAAGGAGTTGTTTCGTAGATCCATGCACTGCATGACCAGTTGACCTGGACCTCTGTATCATGTTTGGTTGATCGTGACCAATCAAGAGCAAGCTTGTACCACTTGGCGTGAGGAAACACGCAAACAGTGACAAAACGGTCAACTCCTAGCGGGACCCATCTAGGACTGCCAACTTTGCAGTGTTCTGACGCTAGGCATGGTACCGTAGATTCCTACTTTTTTACATTGCGTCACGAGTCTGCATCGAACCTGTTTTGATTGCTGAGCTGTTTCAAGCACGAGCCAACGTACACGGTGGTGAATGTGGGGTGATGCTTGTATTAATGCGATTAGATGCTTTGATGAGATCTGACATTTCTGTTGATATCGATCAAACTATATGTACATCAGTACGCTTAGATGCTTTTTGGTTTTGAAATGACGCAAGCAATGTCGCGCGCAGGCACGACGACCTCAGACCATACACCTCAGCCAGGGATGGATTTGTTTGGGGTGCTCGGCAGAGTATACTGTCTACGGGGCCTCCGGGGGGTACGCGGATGGAATGTATTGANGTGCATAGCTGGTGCGGTGGCCATTGCGGGGACCGGGACAGCAGGGTTTATAGCTGGGACAGCACTTCGAGGCTGGGACAGCAGGGAGGGTTTAGAGTTTTAGTTTGATATGTCTGGAACGGAGGAGGACGCAACTCTGAGCGCGAGATTTCGATGAGGCGCTACGAGCTATAGAGGAGGCCAAGGCTGAGACGAAGGAGGCCAAAGCTGAGACGGAGGAGCTTAGGGCAGCACAGCGGCGGTCTGCGGGTGCACCTGCCGGCAGCAGCTCAGGAGG